CTTTAAATTGTTTTGATGGCTTTCTTAAATGTTATATGTTGGGCTCTCATATTTATAATAAGAATTCGCCATTATAATGTGTACCTCTCTAGACCGCGTCTGGACATAGGGTGGAGAAGTGACATTCCCTCTATGATTCTTCAAATAATCTTGAATGAACAACATAAGGCACGCTTCTGTCCCATGATCGACTTGCACCATGTCCCATTACCTTCGATGACCAAAATCTCCCTGTCAAAAAATTACACAGGCATGTATACACAAAAAATTTGCTTCATAGGCCGTTTTGCTCGGCATAATGAGAAAAATCTATTCTATACATTGAGCTCCAAAATTGAATACTGAAAATATTTTTGTGATACGAGTGCGATATTTTATTGAATTACTGACCTGAACTGTGAGTATATAACAGTAGTGTTTTTTCTAGGCATGCAACACATCTTTATTATTTTTGAGCTGCAGCCATCACTGAACATGTAAAGCGTGCAACCATACATGGCCAACTTTTCATTTTGATCGCAATGTAACTTGTTTCCGTAGTAAGGAGCATTATATGGCACAGGATTTTGCCTTCAAACAATATCATCTCTCCTTCTGTTGTGGTCAACTGGGTTGACACGTTGCAGTGACGCACGAACCTGATGACAACTGAGACAATGTCCTTTCCTGTTAATATAGCCAGCCATCATTTTCCAACCATAGGACGCTCCTACCTGTTCAACAATATGCACACGTGTGTTATATTCAAATGGTTCAGTGTGGATAATCTTTCATACTATACCATACCTCACTGATAGACTGTTGGACAATGTTGTCGACTTGAAAATTGTCCAATTTCTTTATGCCATTCTTCGGACAGAACAAACGAATGTTTCTTTCCAAAAAACCACGATTAACCTCTGAAAACTCCCGCTTGAAATTGGTGTTAATCTGCCGATAAGTGTGATTCTTTTGAAGGCATTCTTTAAAAATATTCGATATTCTGCTATAAGTACTCCGCCATTTTTTACTTTAAAATTAATTTAAACGAGAAAATAAATTATACTCTTCGGCTTTGAAAGCACACGCCGAGTCAAATGATGTGCTTTCTTACGCGTAAGCGCGGCACGACAGTTAAAAAAATTTCATACCATTTTTCGTCCCACTTGATATCTGCAGAACAAAGAAAAAAGGGTACCCTTTTTCGTCTTATCATAAAGGTCATAAGTTCATCATAAAGGATACCCTTTATCATCGAACGATGTAATGACGTATTAGACCGAAAAGGGTACCTTTTATCGTCTTACTTCTTAACAACAAGATCGACGAAAAAGGGTACCCTTTTTCATCATATTCGCAAACGATGCATTTGAGCGATAAACATCGCCTTTTTTTTCGGAAAAAGGTGGGAGTATTGTACGTATTTCAGAAATACTTTATGCCATCAAAAAGGGTATGGTATTTATTGCAGTCGATGAGAAGTACATAAGTCGAAAGATAGATTTTCTCTAAATTTTGCTTTCCAGATTCGGAATTTTTCCAGTTTTAGAATTGCTGGAACCGTCCACTGATTCTAACATCTCATCTTGCATAGAATCTCCCTTGCAGATCTCTCAGATAAGTCCATCTGTGTTTCCACCGCAATTTGTATTGTTGCATCTGTTTTTCAACTGCAATTTGTATCTTTGGGTATGGCGTAACCCTAATTACGCCTCTCGTCAGTCGAGGGAATGTGCTTTGTTCTAAACCAGGCAAATTCCCAAAAAGTCATCAAACTTAAAACGTTTGGAGCAAATATGGCTTTGCTGTGATGGCTCCCAGCACTTAACGAAGTCTATCCATTTCTTTCTTTTCCTTACTGCTTCTGGGCACAAATCTCCATTACACATGGTATTGGATGTAGGGCTATTTAATTTTAAGCATCTGGTGTGTTTGGAACAAACATATACAACACATCTAGCCGGCATTTTCCAACGCAATGTATACAAATTTTGATGCATATATTTACCATAATGTGACACTAGTCAATATTCTTATGTGCCCTATATGACGTCAAAACCCTAATTAGACTCTCAGACTCTTTTCTCCCAACTATTGAAAAAAACTATATTTTAGCATGTTTGTTCCAAAATATCTTTAGAAGTATTTATCCGACCTGGGAATGATACATATCATTCGAGTCACCTGATGTTTGCAAATTTTTGGTGAAAAAATGGTAATAATGTCATATGCGCTTTAATTATGTTATAGTATATCAAGCTTTCCAATGTTATAAAATTACTAAAGAAATCAAATGCTAAGAAATTTTTAGGGCAAAGTGGCACAAAGTCAATCATACCTTCAAAAAACTTCTTTTGGTGTGCCAGTCAACAATACAAAACTGATATAGATGATCCAGTCTCTGGTTAGCTGAATGGCATAGCTCTGAGATCCTTTGCCCCAACAAATCTGACTCGAGTAAGTTGATCACCAAAGCAAGGTATTTTTACACCATGTAAAGAATCATCATCAGTTATACATGCAAGGCTGATTGATCAGGTCTGAATGTGGTCCTAATGCTTGGTGCAGCATCATCAGGTTCTGAGAGGGAACATAGCCCAGCAGCTGCATGTATTTCTTCCATCCACTTCTCAAGCTGATCCAATACATCCACACATTCTGCATCTTTTATTAGGATAGGCATTGTCACAACTTCTGACTTGTCTGACATATTCTTGCTTTGTTGGCAATCAGTGGCTCCAGGTATATATGGCTTGAATATTGCTAAAACAGGAAAATGTTCAAACAAAAACCTGGCAATAAGTATTCTATATCTGCTTCTGATTGCCTCAGATTCCAGTCGATTGATATTCACCAGCTGGTGGACATTGCAAATCTTTAAGACTTTGCTTTGAACCAGAATCGGGCAACCCTTCATCAGAAACTCTATTAAACACATACTGGTTGCTACAGCATAAACACTCCTGTTTTGCAAATTTTGCCTCATGTCTTGGGCCTTCTCCTCCCAATCAATGTTGTCTAACACATACACAAATTTATGTCCAGACTACACCAACTCTGCCGCATGATCTATGAAACTCTTTCCAATGTTTTTTATAATTGGGTATTTCTTCATAGGCTCAAGGCACAGACCATAGTTAAAAAGTAAAAGGATTGAGTTCAGGAAAATATATTGTGCTCCCCCATACTGCTTTTCAAAAATAGATAAGATATAGGTAGTAATCCCAGTCTAGGTTCAAACATAACCTATTTTGTACTAATAAGTTATGCTTAATGATGTCAATAACTTTAAAAGAATCATGCTATGCTTCATGCTGGTAATGTATTGCTTGACACTAGGGGCATAACTGGAGTGGTAATTGGTGGGGTGAATATTCATTCATATGTTCTGTTCTGCCTGGTGTTTTTTTAAACACATGTACCGTAAATGATCAATTAAGCGCTGCAGCGCTTATTGAAAATATTGATTTAAAGATGTGGTGCTTATTCGACAGCGGAGCTTATTTCAAAGTGAGCAAATAGAATCCATCAAACTTTTGTTAGAGGTTACAGGAAAAAGAAAGCGCAAAGCTGGGCTGGTGATTTTCACTAAGTTTACAACATATACGGCAAATCGATGATATGCCCAAGTATTAGACACAGAGTTATTTAGGAAGAAGGGAAAATTTAAACTATCAGAACTGTCATATGAGCTTGGTGTTAGGAGATATTTGACAATAAAACTTTGAAGTTTCAATACTGGCCGTCGTTCTCAAAAGTTTAAATGTTAGGATTAATGCATTTAAATAAAAAATCGTTTATTTATATCTTCCTAAATAGGTGCAGCGGCGCTTATTCAACAGTGGTGCTTATTTGAGTAGCGGCGCTTAATCGATCATTTACGGTATATGCATACATTTGGGGGTTAATATATGAATATTCACCTCCCCAATTAGTGCTCTAGTTACACATCTGCTTGCCATTATTTAAACAAATTCAATTAGGTTTCATTACTATAGCCTATTGCTCTATTATAACCAGTAAGAATTTATAAGGTTATGACGATAAGTAATCCGGATAGTAAGGTAAGTATTAAAACTCTTAGTAATTTTATACTGGATACAAGGATACTGATATTGGCAAACAAGTCAATTTATTGTTATGATTAATTCAACCTTGTACCCAGTAAAGACCCTGGGTACAAGGTTGTCATTATTAAGGACTATTTGGAGTAACTTACATTTACAGATGCTTGACCTTGGATTGATAACACAGAATTGATCCTTTGAATTCTGCTTAATTCATGGCATCGTAAAAACATCACAATGCCATATATTTGACTATAAAGTTCTGCGATAAAATATATTTGCTTATATACATGTTAAAAAAGTTAAGAGACAACGTTTCGATGTTGGCTGAACATCATTATCAAGTCAGTGAAGATTAAAAATATTTTTATGAATTTAAATACTAAGTTAAGACAATAGAATAATGAATACGAATAAAATGACAACAGTCCTATACAAAGAGTTTTGCACAGATGCAGTCACTTTGAATATTTAAGGTAGGATGACATTCTTTAATATAAAGCATTTCATATATAAGACAATCGAATTTGTTCTGGCATTTTCTTAAGACTTCAAAATGGTTTGCATTAAGCAAGTCCTTACTCCCATGAGCCTCGTAAAAGTGTTTGTAAAGAAATTCGTTCTCTGTGATGTGGTATCTCTGTTTACAAATGTACCATTAAAAGAGACTATCCAAATTTTAGTGGACAAAGCCTTCACTGATGATTGGTTCAACATGACATACGCTATGAAATTGCAGCGACATCAACTAGCCGAATTACTTGAAATTGCCACTACAAATCAATTGTTTCAATTCAACAATCAGTTGTATATGCAAGTGCACAGTGTTGCTATGGGATCCCCCCTAGGCCCTCTAATGGCAAACGTGTCCCTGTCCCACCTAGAAGAGAAGTTAAAACATGACGGTATGATCCAGAGTTTTACAAAAGATTTGTTGATGATACTCTGTCTAAAATGCCAAACACAGTTGCCGCAACAAATTTTCTGATAAAGCTGAATGATCTGCATCCCAATCTTAGTTTTACTATGGAGTTGCCTGTCGACAACAAAATATTGTTTGTTGGCATGGAAATAAGAAGAGATGGATCGAAAATCGAAACTCAAGTGTATCGAAAAGCAACAAACACCGGCTTTCTTCTACATTTTAATAGTCATTGAGACAAACGTTACAAAGAAGGCCTTCTTAAAACCATGGTACATCGCCGATATGCTCTTTCCCTACAAGAGAAGCCTTTGGTCAAGAGTGTTCTCGTCTGCGCTCTATTTTTAACCGCCTCACTATCCCATTAGTCTAGAAGGTTGTCAATTACAATCCAGAAGGTTGTCAACAACATCTTGAATAATGAGAGTCGAAGTGGAGATACTCCTGACGAAATCAGCATTGTAAGAATTAGTCTGCGCTTCAACGATCAAACCGCAGCTAATGCAGTTAGAAAGCAAATGGTTGATCTGAGTCGAAAAGTTGGTGTTCGTATACAACCAGTGTTTACGAGCAGAAAATTGGAACAGCAATTAAAACCGAGGGAAGTGAAAGCGCCAATCGTAAATCAGCAATGCGTTGTGTATAAATTTCAATGTGATCTGTGTGATGTAGATTATATCGACTATACAGCGCAACATCTCCACCAACGCATCGCTGAGCATAAATCATCAACCATTGGCAAACACTTTTACGAGGCTCATGGGAGTAAGGACTTGCTTAATGCAAGCCATTTTGAAGTTTTAAGAAAATGCCAGAACAAATTTGATTGTCTTATATATGAAATGCTTTATATTAAAGAATGTCATCCTACTTTAAATATTCAAAGTGACTCCATCCGTGCAAAACTCTTTGTATAGGACTGTTGTCATTTTATTCGTATTAATTATTCTATTGTCGTAACTTAGTATTTAAATTCATAAAAATATTTTTAATCTTCATTGACTAGATAATGACGTTCAGTAAACGTTGAAATGTTGTCTCTTAACTTTTTAAACATGTATATAAGCAAATATATTTTATTGCAGAACTTTATAGTCAAATGTTTAAAAAAACCGTTATTAATTCAAATGCCATATATGAAGCAAATTGCAGGGTTCTTCTTTGCTGGATAGATGCTGCTCTCCAACAGACCACATAGGAATTTATGCACTGTTGGACAGCTGGTGGCTATCTCCTTTACAACATCAGACATCCAATCCTCACTAGATAAGCCATCATAATTTCATTGCCTGAGGACAGATTCATCCTTGCCACTTCAATCAGTTACATGTTTGCTTCAATAAGTACTTCTCAGGCATCGATCTTAACATATTGTCACACAGTCATCTATATATACCAATATATATTTCATAATAAAACATATATACCACATTTTGAAATTTTAGAAGTGATGAAAGGTCTTCTATATATTAAATATGCTGCAAAATATTTAACAATAATACGGACGAGAACCATGTTTAAACATAAATTGTCTTTAAAAATATATAGAGATAAGAATAACTAAAAATTTTAGAAGCTTTAAAATATCATGAAGACTTACATTTGGAGATTTTCTGGCAGCAACACTACCAAAGTCAATACTTTGTCGCCGTGAAGTCCCAGCTGTGCGCACTTTAGCTGAGAGGATAACAGAAGGGGAAACTTCCACACATCCAAGATTCTTTGGTTCCTTGGAGAACTCATCTTGAAAACATAATAGCAGCTCCACCACTTTTTCTTTCTCACGATCGCAAAGATTTTCTGTGCTATTTTCATACAAAGACTGTAGATAGTAAGGAACAGGTTTTTTATTCAAGGTTTAGGGAAACTGCTTTTCTTTGTTAGCCATGTCCGTGGGCATTATACTTGTGGCAGCTTCACAAACAGCTACTTCAGTTCTTTTCTTTAGTTTTTTCAGACCAAATGACAGGTTTTCAATCCTTACAGGCATGTAATACTTGTCCAGGTTGACAACGGTTCTCCCAACAACAATGTTCCTTTATCCTAAATTTTGTAGACCAGTTGTAGCCCATCGAACGCCACCTCAGTCATTTTTAAGTTTAGCGAGAATGACCATTTTGGTAAATGGTGGCACTTTGACATCTTTATCTAAGACTACTCTTAAACAATTCAACACAACTCCACCCATTTGCAGCAGAATTTCTATTCCACCCAAGTGTTTGTCTTGGATAATCAATGATACAACCCTCAAAAAGTCAACCTTCAAAAAGTCTGCACTGAGGATACACTCCTCTTGAATATGAGCAACCCACACATCCAATTTAGAGACAGGTTTGCCCAACGTAATTTCCAGAGCGTCCAATAATAGGGATTATTTGTTCCTCAAAGCTCAACTTTGTCACCATTTTAAATAGCAGGACCCTTTACCGGGCCATCTACTATTGAACTCACTATCACACATGTACCGCCGTACCTCTTCTGTAGTGTTTTTAGTGCCTCGTGTATGCCGCCTTCAACTGTCTCCAGACTTGCAACTGCTTCCCTCACATCACCATCCAGAAATTGTAACAGGTTCATCATCTTCTCCTCGTCATCAAAGTCTTGTCTTGCCATTATACGCTTCTCAAATTTCTGCTTGAACAGAGGAAATTCCTCAGAAACGTCAAAGAACTTGCCAAGCTTGATAGCAAGGAAGCTTTGATTGGAGACTATTTTCTGTTGGACTGACAAAATCCCTTGCATTGCAGATGCTACCATGGTCAGGATGTCTCCCTGTTGTAGGTCGTTTACACTAGCATATCTCTGTGGTGGCTCGAAGGAGAACAGCTTGGCTTACTTACAGATAAAGGTGCTCTGTTGTCGAGCTTCAATCAGTTCCTTTTCAGATTGTTGTTATAGGGTCTCCAATATTTGTGGGTTTTTTCAATCTCTCACTTTTCCATTTTTTGTTGCCTTAATAGCTCTTTATGTAGAGTTGAAAAAAAATATCAAGTTTAAGCTTGTTCAAAAAGAAACTAAAGCAAAGTATAATTGAGTTATATTAATTTATTTATTTGGTTGCTTGCTTTAGAATTTCTGAATATATCTATGTTTAATTCTAAATACTAATTTTGCCATCTTGTGTACACTTCAGATTAATAACTGCTTACTGTAAATATACTACTATAAAAATAACCACCTGTCTCGATTAGCCCTTAAGGTTACTTATAGGTGGTTATGCACATAATACTACTGTTATAAAAAAGCTTATTAATTTTGTAGAAAATTGTTGTATCTTTTGTGTGCAAAATATATTCTATTCTATTATGTTTCCATTTAATCTTCAAAAGTTTTATTTCCTTTTCAAGTCTGTCATTGTGCTTGTTTCCGCTGAAGCTATTGCAGCCTGGGCTTTTTTTTTCGAACACTGCTGAGCTTGAAGAACATTTTGTTCCTCTGGAAACATTAGATCTATAAGAATCCACGCTTTCAGCATACAGTGATGCATGTTCTCTTTTCAAGTGTGAATTTTCCACGATTATTTCATTAGGGTTGTATCGAGCAGGTATCCGAAGATTTTCTGAACAACAGAAGCGACCTTCTCGAGATATAGTTATGAGCGTCAAAGAACCTGTTCCATGAATTATCGTACTGTTGTGAAAGTACTCTAATAGTCTTGGCATTGTTTGATTCATTTAACAAAGATTTGATTTGACCACACAAACGAGTAACAGCTCTCAAGCAACCTGTCCTTGTTTTACTTTGAGGAGTGCACCTTTTCTTCAAGAACGTCATCAGAAACTTGTGCTCTGGCGGTGCTCCGACGCTATACACTTAACAAATGTGCAATGCTAATTATCAACCCTAATGTGACAAATCGTGTTGACTTGTTTTATTCAAACAGAATATAAAATACATAAAGATTTACATGAAATACAGGCAAATTATGACAAGTTAATTACGATTTTACAGAACAAACATTCACATAGATGACAGATAATACTTAAACAAATGTTAGTGCCTTACTGAATGTCGATAATCCCACAGAGTTCTATTGCTACAAGTATTTCCTAGTGTTTTACAAATTCACCGCAATAAAACGAAACAAAAGACCAAAAACGTTCTTTGTACATATTTTAAAAGCGGAAGTGCCTAATGCCAAACTCCACTGTCTGGAAGTGTCAAGTACCTGAACAAATTAGACTATTTACATATTCACATACTACGTGTAGCATGTCACGCCACAATAGATATGGGCATAACAACATACTTGGTCACCTTTTTTCAAATTCTTTGAAATTTTGGAAATATAATTTAATTACTAAGGCTAACAAACTGGCAAAGTTTCACTCTGATTAAAGAAAAACTAAGGTCAAACTTTGACCAAATTTGTGCAACTTCTGTTTCTCTTGTTTCTTGTTGGCGTGCTGAACTATGGTCTCAGTTGGAATACTATGCAGTTGTGCTCTGTTCCATTGTATGACAAATATGATCTTGGTTTGTTGGTTGTTCTGATTACTGTTCTTATACAGTTCATATCTGTCACATAAACTGTTGTTCCTGATTTCAAAGGCTTCATTGTTTGAGCACTATGGCGATTATCAAAATTCTTCTTCTGTTTCAATCTATATTCTTCTTTTCTTTGCTTTAAAAAGTTCCTGGTTTGGTAGTTGTGGTGTGAGCTGTTGTGCCATTATTGGTATTGTCAATTTTTATCTTTCTCCCCATGAGGAGTTCTGCTGGCGAATATCCATTAGCTAATGGTGTTGATCTATATGCTAACCTTCTTTTGCGGGATGTTTTTCTTTCTTCAATATATTTTTCACTGTCCTTACTGCCCGTTCTACCTCTCTGTTCGCTTGAGGATAGCGAGGACTACTGGTAATATGCATGAATCCCCATTCTTTTGCAAACTGGGCGAACTCGTCACTGTGGTAATGGGGCCCATTGTCAGAATGTACTTTGTCCGGAATCCCGTGCCTGGCGAAGATAGCTTTTAAAGCTTGTATTATCTTCGTTGAACTTGTTTCTTTGGTTAGTGCCACAACTTCAACATATCGAGAATAATAATCTACCACTAGTAGATAGGTCACCTTTTCTAGAATAAACAGGTCTGTTGCGACTGTTGTCTTGCTGGGAGTGGCATCAGGATCAACAGTTTTGCATGCTGTTGTCTGTACTTGCTGCAAAGTGTACAATTTTCAACCATAGTTTTAATTTGTGCACTAAGTCCTGTTCACCAAAGGGATATCTTGGCTCGTTTTCTGCATTTGTTAATCTCTTGGTGACCTTGGTGTATTTGGGCAAGGGTTTGGCGTTAAAGACTGGATGGAATAACTAATCTTGTTTCTTTGAGTAAAAACCTGTCAACGATTGTGAGTTCTCCTTTATGGGTTTACTAGTATGGGTTTACTGCCCAGGTGACATGATCCTTGTCTGGCCATTGATCCATGCAGTACTTCTTCACTTCTTTGCATACCTCATTATCATCTCGAGCTTGTTGTATTTGTTTCAATTTTGGATTTGATGCTGGGAGTGCTTCCATTACACTGGAGATGTAGGTATTCATTTCCTGTTCTTCTATCGTTGGTTGAGCTGTGCCCTTCTCTTGACAAAGTGTCAGCTGTGTAGTGTAGTTTTCCATGTATGTGAAATCTCATGAGTCTATCCTATAGGGGTAGTTTGTGTCAACCTTTCTCCGGGTCTGGTTTTATGGCGTCAGATCAGACAATCTGACCTGAAAGCTTATTCTTAAGGGAAGAATGTTAATGCAATATTGTCCCCACGGGGTGATGAATGTTGTGAGAGGTCTTGCCCATTCTGACAGTCTAATTTGCAAGAATCCCAAGCACCAGCAAGGTTTGCAAATGTTGTTTCAGGTATTGGTAGTGGGTGGTTTTCGTGTTGTATGTACTGGTTGAGTTTTGGGAGATCTACACATATCCAAACCTTTACAATGCTTTTTGGTGTTACCACCATTAAGGCGCACCAT